TTGCAATTCTTAAGAAACAAACACCCTTTATAAAAGACTTTGCTCCATCCTCTGATAGCTTGGTCTAGCACAGAGTAAATGGAACAGTTTCCCAAGTGTGGTAAACTTAAGTTAGAAAAGGACTGGCGTCACACTTTGTCCAAGTCATGTTTTTCTTGACCAGGGTTTAGTGAATAAACCACAAATGGCTTGGTTCACTCATGCTTGTCCAAAAATCAAGGGGATCAGCATTGCAAACACCGAGCCAGATTTAAGGAGCCCAGAATTGTTTTGCAGAGTGAGGTGGGTGGCATATAAATTTAAGAAACAAGATAAAATAAAATAAAATTAGAACATTGTGACAAGCCAGGGTGCATTCGGCACAACAATAGTCTGAATGGACTATTATACCAGTGAGATTCTTTATGTGAGTTTGGACCATTCCCCAAATTCAAAAAGAATGCAGTTTTGACAATTTGTTTCTCAGGTTTATTACTTCCAAGATGATGTCATGGAGAAACAATGAGCACAATAAAGTCTTAAAACAAGGAATGCTTTCTTTGGGCATATCACCAGTCAAAGGAAATGACAGTAAGCACATTTTACAAAAAGGAAGCAAAAAGTTACCACATTTTAACAGTTTTCATTTTTGGTACAGTAACTATTGATAAATACAGCCCATGCCAAAAAAAAACCTCTTTTAGGGTGCTTCGTAATTTTTAAAACTGGGAAGGTTTGTAGAGAGAAAAAAGTTTAAGAAACAGAGCATGTATTCAGAGTAGCTTTCTGCCAGCTCCTGGTAATCTTTTCCCCAAATTCTTCCACTGCAATTGTTTCTTTTTACATCTATGTTTGACCTCAAAATATACAACAGAATGAAGTGTTTACACTTGTGTGGTCCGGCCTAATAAACATGGACTGCTTTCAAGTATCAAAGTTTGAAAGTTTATTAGTTGAGCTTTAATGTATCCCTTAGATTGGAAGTAACTAACTATATTATTGTCTCCACAAAAATGTATTAATCCTCCTGATTTTCATGCAGCTAGAACCATATTAATTATTTTTTATTCTGCATTTTATATTTATATATACATATATGTATACACTTACATGTACACAGTGCTTTTTTTATATATAAAAAAAGGTGCCGGAACTGACACATACAACCCACCTTGCCTACCCTACAAGGTTCTATCCAAAAAAGGTGCCGGAACTCCATTCTGGGCGTTCTATGACAAAAAAAGCCCTGCATGTACATATAAATCTACATCTATACATTTACACACACACACACATACATATATGTGTCTGTGTGTGTGTATAAAAATCTAATTTTATATATACATACACAGATACACAGAGCTGAATGCCTCAGAGAGGGTGCGCAATCTGGGTGTCCTCCTGGATCCACGGCCGACACTAGAAGATCAATTGACGGCCGTGGCCAGGGGGGCGTTTTACCGGGTACGCCTGGTTCGCCAGTTGCGGCCTTTTCTGGACCGGGATGCCTTGCGCACAGTTACCCACACTCTTGTCACCTCCCGCCTGGACTACTGCAACGCTCTCTACATGGGGCTCCCCTTGAGGAGCACTCGGAGGCTCCAGTTAGTCCAGAATGCAGCCGCGCGAGCGGTGATGGGAGCTACTCGTCGCTCCCAGGTAACGCCGCTGCTGCGTGAACTGCACTGGCTACCGGTGGCCTTTTGAGTGCGCTTCAAGGTGCTGATTATCATCTTTAATGTTGCATCCATTTGGTTCCTGACTTAAGTTTCATTTCTCCTGAAAAGCTTACCTGCCTGCCTTAGGTTTCGTTTCCTGACTTAAGTTTCATTTCTCCTGTTAAGCTTACCTTGAATTAGTACCTCCTTGACTTAAGTTTCCTGTTCTTTGTGTATGGCAATGAAGAGCCATCCCCCTATTGTCCTTTTGTACACCCCCCCCTTGATTATGCTAATGTACGAATAAAAGGGAGNATTGGATTTTAATTTGATTTTATATTGGGTGTTCACAAAATTTTAAATGAAACGGCAAAATTAATATTTCTTTTAATTGTATTTTAAAATGGTGTTTGTAAGGTCTTTATCTGTTTTTAGCTTGCTGTAAGCCGCCCTGGGTCCGCCAGGAGAAGGGCGGGGTATAAATCTAATAAAATCTAAATCTAAATCTAAATGTATTGCCAAGCTAGCTCAACCAGGCAATCTCTTTCATATATAAAATTGTTCAAGGTTGGGTTACAGTCTGGAAGGGAAAAGGCTGTGGACTACAATTCCCATAATCTCATTCTCTATGTTGACGGGTTGATGGGAGCTGTAGTTCACAACAAGTGTTCTGCTTGGAACTCCGGAAGAACAGGGTCAAAAATTCTCCTGGCAGGGCACTATGGTCATTGCAGTCTAACATTCTTCTCTTTGCAAGTTTGATGGGAAGCAAAGGCCCTCTGCGTGCAGTTTGCCCAAACCGAAACTACATTTCCCAGAATGCAACCGTCTAGTCATGTGATAACATGGCTTAAAAGCACAGTCGAGCTTCTGAAAGGACACTTCCGATCTCTGGGCCGGTGCAATAGAGATGCAGGGGCTAGAGCGCCCCCGCCGCTTGTTCGAGGCGGAACTCCTCGCTGGGATTACAATTCACATCATCCCCAGACACAGCGGGACCGGAGTTCAGGTCTTTAGGCTTCCCCGGAAAATGAAGAAAGCCTAAGGGGCTGCGAGGGTTCCCGACCGGGCAGCACTTCATTTCCCACAATGCAGTTCTCGCGCCTCGCTCTCGCGAGACTTGGCGAGAAGCCGCGGCTGGGCCGGCGTTCTCGCGGAGGAGGCCAGAAGCGCCTGGGAGTCGGGCCTGGACGGGTGACCGGGAGTCGCGGCAGCCGCAGCGGAACGACATGGCGGAGACGGACCCCAAGACCGTGCAGGACCTCACCGCCGTGGTGAGCGGGCTCGGTGGGGGCGGAGAAGCGGCCCGCCCGCTCCCCGGGGAACCTGGAGGGTGGGCGGAAGGACTGCTGGGGTTGCCATGGAGACGGGAAAGGGCGGTGGCCGCGTTGCTAGGGAGCCGGGCGCGGCCGTTGGGGTCGCCCTGGATACAGCGGGAGGCGATGCGCTTCGGGGGCGGGCGGCCTCGGTTGCCGTGGAAACGGAGAGGGGCCTCCCCAGAGCATTTCGATTTAGCCAAGGGGTTACGTTCACACGACCAACTCGGGTTAAGAGCATCCTGGGTTAATGCGGGCTTTGAGCATGCGGCCCCTGCCTTTCTCCAAGGTCGCCCTTCACCTGGGAGGGGGCTTCAAGGTGGTCTTTTGCCCCAGAGTTTGGGCCAGGCCTCCCACTTGCAAGGGAAGCCACTTAGACCCAGTGGCATTTTGTAATTGGGGTGGGCGGGTTTGAAACAACCTTGCTTAAATTTTTTTCTCCCCCTCCCCCAATCAGGTGCAGACCCTCCTGCAGCAAATGCAGGACAAGTTCCAGACCATGTCTGACCAAATCATCGGCAGGAATATCCTTTTGAGCGTGGAAATAAAAGAGGAGAGGTTTGGGATGCGAAGAAGCAAGAAGACCTGAAGGTTTCACCAAAGGGGTTTGGTTGGGCCAGACACCCCTCCCCAATGTGTGGGGAGACCTCACTGAAGAAAAGCTGCACAGCCGCGTGACAATTGCATGGGGACAATGTCACGCTGTGCCTCTATTTGATTCTGCCTCTCTAAGTCCTTTCCGACATTAGGAGAGGATGCAAAGTCAGCGTCCCCGATCCCACGTTCCAAACGGGCTGTCCAGAGTTTGCACAACTTTTATCAGTCGGTGTGCAAATGTCAAGACACTTTCTCCACTTAAGTAATGCATGTAAACCCAAGAAACTTGCTGTGTATGTGTAGGTGCTCCTCGCTTAACAACTGCAGTAGGGAATGGCAAATCCATCACTAAGTAGCATGGTCCTTAAAAGAGTGAGGTCACGTGACCACGCTGGCTTACAGTGTCGCTGCTGGGTGAGGTTAAGCGAATCACTGTGTGTCATTTTAGTGCAGTGACTTGTGACTTCCTGCTGGCTCCCCTGTTGCTAAGAGCTAGCTGGGAAGGTTGCAAATGGCAGCCACAGGATCGGGGATGTCTGCTGTGACCCTCTATCCAAGGTCAGAAGATGGTTTTGCTTCAGTTGCATTTTCTCTAGGTGGTTTGCTTAACTCAGTTATACTCGATGACATGAGTTGCCGCATCGACGACCTGGAGAAAAACATTGCGGATCTCATGACCCAGGCCGGAGTGGAGGAACTGGAAGGAGGAGAAAACAAGGCAGCCACTACCAAGACTTCATGTGAGCTTGACTCTGAAATGATTCTGTGGGCTTGCGGATTAAATACGGTGGGGTGACAGAGACAGAGGCTGTCAGCTGCTGGATTGGCATCCTCAATCTTTTCATTTATTTTTCATCTGCTTTTATAATTTGGACGTTGCCCAGAGTCACCTTGGAGGGGAGAAGGGTGGCAATAGAAATTTATTCTATTCTATAAATTTTTTTTATTCTATTCTATTTATTCAATAGAAATTGAATAAATAAATAAGCCCTAGTCCTCCATGTGATGCCATACCAGTGGTGGCGAACCTATGGCACGGGTGCCAGAGGCGGCACTCAGAGCCCTCTCTGTGGGCACACGCGCCGTCGCTCCAGTCCTAGGCCTTTAGTTGGGTTTTATAAAACCTTTTCACTTTAGGCCTCCGTTGCCGTGTGCAAAAAAAAAAAAAAAGGTTCAATCAGTCAATTTCAACTTCTCGCGGGGAAAAAAAAGATCTTGCAAAGTTGGAATTGATTGATTGAACTTTTTAGTCCCACCCACTGCAGCCACGCCCAGCCAATGGGCCACACCCACCCGGCACCCGACGATGCATAAGTGGGTTTTGGGTTGCAGTTTGGGCACTCGGTCTCTAAAAGGTTCTCCATCACTGTGCTATACAGATAGTAACAGTACTGTAGTAACAGTACAGTTACCGTAAGTTGCAACAGACACCCCCCCAAAAAAGCTACTTATGATCCAGTTTCAAAGTTATAATATTGCCCCCCCCCTCCCATGGTCACATGGCTGCATTTTGGGTGCCCAACAATTGGTGCTCATTTATGGCCATTTGCAGCACCCACCAATGGATTCGCTTAACAAAGGTGGCGTTTGCTTAACAACCATTTGCAGGAAAGATTGTAAAAACACATTCCATCAGGACACACTTTACAATCGTAACAAGTTAGGACTATAATTGCCAGGTTCATTCGTAAGTCAAGGGCTATCTATTTTATTTGCTTATAAGAGGAGGGAAAAGTAAAGAGCTGTGCCCGCTGAAAGGTAAAAATAAATGGGCCTAAAAGTGTCAATATGTACTAGCAGTGCTTTTTAAGTGCCTGGATGAGTTAAATGCCACCCTTGTTTTTATTTAGGAGTGTGCAAGATACTAACGTTCCTAAGTGAAACGTTCCTAAGTTGTATTTCTTCTGGCAATCTTTACTAATTGTCCTACTTTTCTCTCAACAGCCTGCCAATAATCTATGATGGTCCCAGAAAAGAGACCTTTTTACAAGCCTACGCTGATTTTTCAGACCCCATTTTTGTTTTATTTTTCTGTTTTTCCAACAAGTAGTGTGTATAAGCATTTTTCTACAGCTGTAGAACTTGCGTTCTTAATGTACCTTGTATAACTAGATTTGGAACAGTTTCTATTCTGACTTCTTGTGCATTGTGAGTTTCATGCACTTTTTGGAATGGACATGTTCTATACTGATTTCAATTATTAAAACATTAATTTGGTAGCTTGATGGATCAAATACAATGTTAATGTTATACAAGTGGACTTTTGTGAATTTGGATGTAAAAACTTTCCTTTTCCTGGTTACCTTTTTGTAATTCTTTTTATGTAGTGGGTCAAACGTATTGTGCTTTCTATCAGCCTATTTTGTGCACAAGGATGAAAATGTGTTCTGAGCCATTTACCCGATTATTAGTAAGAAGTTTAAAGTAGGAAACAATCCATTTTGGATCTCTTGAGCTGTAACTCTTCTTCATTTTGTATTATCGATTTCAGGAAATTGATAATTGAAAAAATTGAACAGTTAATAATTTAAAAGTAAATTGTCACTAATATTGGCCTGGAAGCCTGCATTTTGTTATTGGGGGGGGGGTACCCCTTAAGCAGGACACTTGATAGTTCTAACTGTGGAGACCAGTTCTTTGGATTTATAATAAAATGCATATTTTCTTTCAATTAGACTTCTGTCCCCGGAGTGACAATTGGCCTTTACATCTTGGTCGTTGCAAAGTGATTGCTGAGTTGCATCTAATATTGAAGCTGTTCTAATGCCCTAAATGCGACTTTATGAAATCACTGCTGAAAAAGCCCTTTAGTGTACAAATAAAATCTCCCTATGATGGCTTTGAAATCGCTGTAAAGGAAGGGATGCATTTTAATCCAGAGTTTGATGGAATTGGGATAAGTGTGTCCAGCAATTGAGGCTGATTCCACTGGGATCCTTAAAATGTACAGCTTTAGCTAAAAGGTAAACGGGGACAGTTGTTGTAAACATGCTAAAATTCTCAAGTTACTCTGTGCAGCCTTCTTACAGAAAACTCCGTGTTTGGAGTACTAAGCTGTTGAGGATATGAGCGGATTAGGGCATTACTGCCTAGCTCCTAAAGCTGCAGAATAAACTTGCCACAGCTCAGAAGGACCCTATCCTGGGTGTGTTTGTTTCAGAAGAAGGTCAAGTTTTTTATTGGGAGGCATGGAAGGACCATTAAAAAAATGAACAGTTATCCCTTGCTGGGGTGGATATACTGTAGACATTTTCCTTGATTCAGGACTCCGTTCTTCATTCCAAGTTTGGATCTTTGCTTCTTTTATGCCCTCTGGTGTGGTTGGTTCCCTCGTACACCACAGCGGCTGAACAAAAGAGTTTGCCATAACTTGTGCTCGATCGCGCAAAAATACGGAAAAGAAACTTGTGTCCCCCTAAGCCCAACCTGTTCCTGTGTATTCGTGGGTCTGCTGTATGAGAAATGTGGAGAGCAAATTTTCTGGGTTGCATGGGAAAAATGTTAACAGGGATAATTGGCCAACACCAGGTGCCAGTTTGGCTTTTGAAAAAGCTCTCTTCCAATACGGATGGAAGCAGCTGCTTGCAAAACAAAACTTTTTCTCTCTCTCTCGCTGGAAGATTTCTGCTGAATATTTCTTAATGGAGCAGAGTAAAAAGAGAAAGACATTTCTTCAGTGTTCCTAGAGTTAGTAGAAATGAACACATTCAGTCACCGCTGAAGAGTGGAACTGTCACCGTAAGATCCATTTATTTTTTTAAAAACAATCATGGCACTTGTGATGTTTGGTGGTACCTGAATAATCGTTTTTCAACTGGTCAGTGAAGTCATCGTAGTTGTGTTACAAGAAAGGCAGAAGAAGATGGTTTAAAATAAATACCCTTGTATAACCAGCCTTAGATCTTTCTGACCCTGCTGTTAAACATGTCTAAATAAATTGCTGAAATGGCACTAAGTATTTATCTATTACCGCAGATGATGTAATTGGAGTATCTGTCCCAGTTTGCTTGATGCCCTGTGTTGGTTCGGTGGCAGGTTTTGGGCTGGAAAAAAAATGAAGCACTTTATTTACTGCACAATTAAGTTATACTTCCCTCAGGACTAATCACTGCAGGCTTTAATAGCTGCAAAAGGGGAATTGGTGCCTTCAGGATCTATCAAAACTTTAGAGGCACTTAGCGTTAGCGGCTCTGGACATATGACAAGAAGATTTTGCTTTTCCATCTGCTTCTGAGCTTCCCTGAAGCATCTGGATGGCCAATGCTGACTTGCAAAGTAAGCAAAATATTTTTGGAGAGCTTTTTCTAGTTTTTGGAGGGGTTATTTTGTGTGTATGTGTGTGTGTGTGTTGAAAAGCATTCCTATATGTCCATGTGTGGCAATGAAACGTATGGCAGTTGCTTGCTATGCTGTTGCAATTTGGTTTCTGTGCAGATAGCCATGCTAGATTCTCAGTCATCCAGGTTGTTCCTAAGGAGCTTTTTTTTTCTTTTCCAAAAGGCAAACTAGACCTTTCTTGGTTTCCCCCCCCCTTGAAAATGTTTCACTTCTCATCCAAGAAGTGTCTTCAGCAGTTCATTTTACAGAATCGAAGTTCAGTTCATTCCGCAAAACTGAAGAAGCTTCTTGGATGAGGAGCAAAATGTTTTCAAGGGAAAAAGAAATCGAGAAAGCCCTGTTGCCTTTTGGAAAACCTCCATTGGGACAACAACAACAACAACAACAACAACAACAACAACAATAATAATAATAATAATAATAATAATAATAATAATAATAATAATAATAATAATCATAGTAAAGTTGGAAGGGACTTTGGAGATCATCTAGTCCAACCCCCTGCTCAGGCAGAAACCATACACCATTTCGGACAAATGGCTGTCCAGTCTCTTCTTAAAAACATCCAGGTTGGCGCATTCACCGCTTCTGGAGGCAGGTTGTTCCACTGGTTAATTGTTCTAACTGTCAGGAAGTTTCTCCTTAGTTGCTTCTCTCCTTGCTTAGTTTCCACCAGTTGCTTCTTATCCTGCCTTCAGGCTCTTTGGAGAACAGCTTGACTCCCTCTTCTTTGTGGCAGCCCCTGAGATACTGGAACACAGCTATCCTGTCACCCCTCGTCCTTCTCTTTGTTAAAACTAGACATACCCAATTCCAGCAGTCTCCAGTCCCCTAATCTAGTGATGGCGAACCTTTTAGAGACCCAGTGCCCAAACTGCAACCCAAAACCCATTTATTTATCACCGGGTGCCGGGTGGGCGTGGCCGCAGTGGTCACGGCAGACTGGGTGGGTGGAGCCAGGGTGGTGGGGGCCAGTCCCTCGCTATCTCTGGGGCATGGCACGTGTGCCCACAGAGAGGGGTCTGAGTGCCACCTCTGGCACACGTGCCATAGGTTCGCCACCACTGCCCTAATCAATCCCTTGCTAAAGGTTGTGCTGAGAAATTGGGGAGCTTCATTAAAACATGCCAGGAGAAGGGCACTTGCCCTTAAAAAGTGGTAGTAAACTGGAGGTAAACAGCAGTAAACCCTCTTCTTCCTTAAGAGTAATTTCAGAAGCAGCAGAGTATTGATACTCCAATCACCATTTAATGACTAATTTCAATCTTTTCTTGGAAAGCTGGAAGTTTAAATACCAAATTGCTCAAAGTAAATTACAGGAAACCCTCAAGTTTCGACTTTAACGGAGCCTGCCAATTACGGCTGTAAGTTGCAATGATTGTAAAATGAGTTGGATACATAGCCAACCCAATTTTATGACCTTTTTTTGGGTGATGGTCATAAACACGAGTTGTTACTCAAACTCATGGTTGACTATGGGTGCGGTTTTGATGAAAACCAGAAGCAAGTGGCAATTTGGGGCAAAATGCTGTCATGTGACCACAGGACACTGCCATCCATGAATGTGGCCCCGTTGCCAAGCACCCAAAGTACGGTAATGTCACCATGGATGGAGGACCATCAAAACTTTGGATCTTGGTTGCAAGTCCCCTTTTGGGGGGGTCCGTTGTAACTTGGAATTCTTGCTAAGTGACCATTTGTAATTTGTTCCAACAGACAGTATTGATAAAATACAAATATTTTCCCTAACAAGGAGAAAAATAACTCCAATATACTTTTTCATCAGCAGAATCTTGAGCCTTGGTTTAAACTAAACCGCTGATGCACAGAAAGTTTTATTAATAGAGAAGACTCAACTGCAAAAGCCACCGTAAGAATACTTCTTAAGCCCCCAAATGACCTTCTCAGGTGATATTGTGACAAGATGAAATATTGCAGTATATTTTGGGGACTTTCGAACCATGTATAAAGATTAAGTTTGCATGGATGGGGATCCACATTCAAAGGCTACCCAATTAATCACTTATTTGTTACTAATGGATATTTTACATATCCCAAGCGATTTATTGCAAGTGTTCTGCTCCAAAAAAAATATATATTATGATTTATTCTCTGAATACAAAAGCTCTTTCTCAAAAAAAAAATGTTAAGAGAAACTTTTCCCCCCAAGGGTAAAAAAAAAAGAAAAATATTGTTCAATCTTAAGGGTATTAGATTTTTTTTGTTTAAAGACCATGGGGGAACCACAAAGCATTGTTTTTACAGTTTGCAGTCAAAAATTGGTTGTATGCAGTGGAGATAGACCAGCATCTGCAGTGTCTTAGGGATATAGGCTTTGCATTTTTTATAGACCTGTACAGTTCAATGATGCTAGAGGAGGCAGGAAGCCTCCCCCCTCAGCCTCTTTGTTTCTGAAATATTCCCACAGGTTATAATAATAAAGTTGGAAGGGACCTTGGAGGTCATCTAGTCCAACCCCCTGCTCAGGCAGGAAACCCTATATTCACCGCTTCTGGAGGCAGGTTATTCCACTGGTTAATTGTTCCAACTGTCAGGAAGTTTCTCCTTAGTTCTAGGTCGCTTCTCTCCTTGATAGTTTCCACCCGTTGCTTCTTGTCCTGCCTTCAGGCGCTTTGGAGAAGAGCTTGACTCCTTCTTCTTTGGGGCAGCCCCTGAGATACTGGAACAATGCTATCCTGTCACCCCTGGTCCTTCTCTCCATTAAACATCAGAGATACCTAATTCCAGCAACCGTTCCTTGTATGTTTTAGCCTTCAGTCCCCTGATCACCTTTGTTGCTCTTCTCTGCCCTCTTTCTAGAGTCTCAACATCTTTTTTACATCGTGGTGACCCAAACTGGATGCAGTATTGTCCCCCCCCTCCAATTTACAGGACCCCTTCCTTCCAGGAAACACACAGCCTTTGGATAAAGAGGATGCCAGGCCTAGATGCTAAAACAAGCCCGGATTGTGTTCCTTTCCCCTCTACGGCAGAGAGGGTGCCGTATTCCCTGTCAAAGGCACCTGGAGATTTATCCTTTCTAATTTCATTTTTAAATGTCAGCAAGCTAACGGCTTCGTTAGCATTCAGCTCGGTAAGGCATCTCATGGCCACCGTAGAGCCAAGAAGAAGATGGATTTACTCGTCCAATAACATCCTGCCATGGATTCTCATCATGTCAGGGCTTCGAAAAGCCAATTATAAATCCATCCATCTGTAGAGACACTCGTTGATTTGCATCAGGTCTTCAGCATTCAGAGAAAGGTTTAATCTTTCCTCCACGCAGATTCCTAGCTGGACAGGGTTGTTGTTTTTTCCCCTTCCTTTCTCTGATGAGAGAGAAAGCAGAGGTCCTGTTCTGTGGGCTGCAGGAAGCACGTGCCTTTTCATTTAAGGGTAATATCACCATCATTTTATATCAGCTTTCGATTTGGATGTTGAGCCAGGTCTGTTCTGCATTTCTCTCCATTACTTAGTAACTAAGGTAGTTACTTGGTTGGCAAAAAGGATCAGCTGCTGCTGTCTCCTTATTTAAGGCCACACTTGGAATATGGCATCCAGTTTTGGTCACCACGATGTAAACAAGATGCTGAGACTCTAGAAAGAGTACAGAGAAGAGCAACAAAGATGATTAGGGGACTGGAGGCTAAAACATATAAGGAACGGTTGCTGGAATTGGGTAGGTCTAGTTTAACGAAGAGAAGAACGAAGGGGAACATGATAGCAGTGTTCCAATATCTCAGGGGCTGCCACAAAGAAGAGGGAGTCAAGCTATTCTCCAAAGCATCTGAAGGCAGGACAAGAAGCAACGGATGGAAACTCATCAAGGAGAGAAGCAACCTGGAACTAAGGAGAAACTTCCTGACAGTGAGAACAATTAACCAGTGGAACAACCTGCCTCCAGAAGTGGTGAATGCTCCAATACTGGAAGTTTTTAAGAAGAGACTGGACAACCATTTGTCTGAAATGGTATAGGGTTTCCTGCCTGAGCAGGGGGTTGGGCTAGATGACCTCCAAGGTCCCTTCCAACTTTATTATTATTATTATTATTATTATTATTATTATTATTATTATTATTATTATTATTATTATTATTATTATTATTATTATTATTATTATTATTATGGATCATCGCACAGTCAGCCAGATGTTCAGACTGGATTTGACATTTTGTCTACCTATCGAGTCCTTACCCAGGACCTGGGATAGGCAGATGTGGATGTTTGATGGTATTACAGATATCGTCGCAGGATGGAAGCAGTTCCTAGTAAGGCCGCCTTTTGCAATTGACTATTATTATTATTATTATTATTATTATTATTATTATTATTATTACTACTACTACTACTACTACTACTACTACTACTACTACTACTACTACTACTACTACTACTACTACTACTACTACTACTAACTGTCTCCTGCTTGGTGCTTCTCAAGTTTTGGGAATTTAAACGTAAATCCAGTTTTAGATCAGATACCGCCCTCTAGTGCACAGTGTCTACAATTACAGAATGCAGACCCTGGATTTTATCTTATTTTTGTATCTTATTCGTATTAAGATTTGTGTGCCATTGCTTTCCTGAGAAGCAACCTGGCTTCACATTGGCTG